ATAATAATAATAATAATAATAATTCTTGTTCCTTTCTTCTTTAAAACTTTTCAGAATTAACACCTAAAGGCAAATGACCACAAACTGAACTACCATTTTTATTATTATTATTGTTATTATTGAAAATTTAGCAATAATAACATTTCGATCTGTTCTTAGAGGATATTGGAATTTTGGAACCAATGAACATCAACAAACAAATAATATGGAGTGAAGCTATCCTGGAAATTATCAATTAGATCCATGTCTGTAAAATATGATCAGATAAAGAATTACCAGTTGGTTGTTATAAACAAGCCCTTTTAACAGGTTTACACTTTATATTCTCTGTAACTGAACTTCTGCTTTCTTTAGAAAAGAATGACAAGTTAGCAGATAGCTAACAGTGTCCTTAAAATATTTAAAGACAAAAATTCAGACATACAGTTTGCATGGAAAGTTGATTAGCTCACTGAAGCTAACCTGTCAAGCGTTAGTGCTTTTCGTTTGAATAATCCGTTCCTTGCTGTCCCCTCCCTCACTTCTGCTGCATATAGCCACTTGTGTATCGTAGGTGTGATGTACATAGTTAGGTGAAGTGGGCAAGGGCAAGTTAAAAAGAAAAATTAAACAGGGCCCTAGTCTCATTCCATAAATAGAGCTCATGGGTTGGCTCTGACTCAACGAGATTCATCATTTTTGGGTACCCCCTCTGGTGCTGCACCAACCATCTGTGGTTCTCCTCAGTAACCTGTCAGGCATCACCACACTGTTGGAAATCCCTCCAATAAAGCACTGATAATCTTTTTAAGAAAGCATCACATTCCATGATGTGGTTATTTTGAACAACAACCAAACATAATGTCAGCAATAAGGGGTGTGCTAACTTTATATACCAAGTTTTCATTAAAAGAAAAACAGGAATTTATATGAGACTCTGCTGAGCTTATACCTTTATGACTAAATACTACATGGTGATTAAATACTGTAGTGAGTGATGCTTAGGCTTTGCACACAGGTGATTGGGTTTCAAATCCCTGCACAGGCAGTAACATTGTTTTCAACTGCCTTTGGAAAACTCTTAACACTATGTGTAACACATGTAAACACGCTCATTGCCTCTATTGATATGATGATAAATTGCTGTAAATTAAGTTGAGTTCATGTTCTTGTTGCCCTTTTTTCCCCTTGAGCCCCCACCCCCTAAAATTTGTGCGCAATTGCCTGCAATTTTTCACAAATTGTGTGTATATGAAGTAAAAGGCAATGAAAAATGACAGTAAACATATACAATGCAAACCAGTGCAAGTAAGCAGCTTTGCTAACAGGCCAGTAATATTCAGAGTTAAGCTCTAAGTTTAAATATTTACTGAATGATTAACTGAAAAGCTGCAGCTTACCAAAAAAACACATGCTTGTGTTTTCCAGAGTGTGACATATCGTCCAAGGAAAATTCCCAGCTTCTTCCATACAGCTTAAGGGTCCGGATGGTCCAGATGAGTTGTAAAATTGTGAAAACACTTTATGGATTTCCAGGCAAATATAGGTAAATTTCAGAGCAACTCTGCTATAAAGGTGGTAAACACCTAATTTAAATATCTACTGTAGTGGTCCATAGATCTACTACTTTGTGACATTCACAGAACATGTGCTTGAATGTACTGGGTGCACTATTACAGATATTGCAGTTATAGTTCAACATTCACCCCATTGGGTATCTCATGCCCTGTGAATTATGTTACACTAGATAAGTTGCTCCAATTAACTTGGAGCAAAATAGTGTCACAATCTAAAGTTGGACTGAGAGAGGAAAGCTCTTGCTCCCATAATCATGAGCTGTATGCAATCTGTGACACATAATGTAAGCTCTAGAAATCAAAAATGGAGATGCATCAAGATGTATCAAGATATTATAGTTGCATATTGAATCGAAATTAAATCGAATTGTGACATGCCTACAGATTTCCAGCCCAAATACAACTAGCCGGTCTTCATGATTATATTGTATCTAGCTCTCTGTGTGAAAACAAAAGCAAACTGTTTATGACATGAATATACTTTATTTTCCATTTTGCTCAACCACATACAGCTTAGGTTCATGCATGCTGGTTATAAATTTCTAAATATTACTTATCATATCACACTGCACTGCACATGTCTGTTGAAAATCTGCACATTCTTTTTTTCTCCTTCCATTTAAATAGTTAATGATGTTTATTTCTGAGAGCGCTTTTGCCTTTTTTTTTACTCATGTTGGTTTTGGTGTCATATTGCACATAGCACCACGAAATGTTGGAAGAGTTTTATGTGAAAGTCAGTGGAGCAATCAAAGCATTTACATATCCACTACATGTCCGCTACATGTTTAAACTGCACTAAGCTTAGATTGACAAAGACATCTTTGTACACTAATATCAAACCATTAGTGTGCATGTACATATAGGTTCCAGTTAACTGTAAGAGGAAACCTGGATTTGAGACTGTGTTTCTTTTCTATAGAGATCTGAGAAAATAAGTTTATGTCATCATATTTGTATCAACACAAAGCCTTAAATTATCTTAGCTGAACTTTGAATTCCTTGGAGTGCAGCAGTGAATCATGTTACTGCTAAAAGAGCTTCTTAATTCAATCAAGACGAAGACATAAACCTGTTACAGGTTGATGGGCTGTTTCGCTATGTTTAGCTGCAGTAAAAACACAAATTATCTTTGGTGAAAGCAAAAATGACAAAAAAGACTGAACTGCAAATTTCTAGAATTAATACGGCCTTAATGAAATGAGACAATGCAAATACAAGTAGATATTAATATATAGTGTGAGATCTTATTGAATATATTGATTAGAAAACTCTTTGAGCATAGTGACATCTAGAGGACATATCTCTTAGGACCATAGCCTATGTTTAAAGCCTCAACATTCCTGCTCTCAGATGCTTTATGTACTTTAGGTTTGAATCAGAATCAAATATTGCAGTGATTTACCTAGTCTAAGTAAAAAAGTAATGCAAAGTGTTAGTTCTCACCAAAATCAAAAAATAAAAAAATGCACAACTTGTAAGTCTGACGTTAGTTAGCTTAGTATTTCTTCTCCAATATTTTTACCCAGAGCAAGAAACTGAGTTTTGCATGTAGATAGATACTACACTTCCAAGAAAAAATCAGGAACTAATCCTTTTCAGATATTAGATGAACAAACCGTGGGGCTAAAGAGTGCAAATAGCCAGCCAATAGATGATAAAGAGGTTGTTTCATTCCAATTTCACTTGGAGGGAAGTGGTTTCAACACAGTTCAAAACATATCTTGGTGCCATTGCATAAGACAGTACAAAGTCATAACAATACATTTTCTGTGAAAGGATTTTTTATGTACAGGGAATTTTAGACAGCCAAAACCCTGACTTTGGTTTGGACAAAGTTCTAGGTTATTGTGTTTCAAACCCCCACTCTTCTTTAAAAATGTAAAAAAAAATAAATAATAAAAAAAGATTTTAAAAAATCTTAAAACCATGTGGGATTTGTTTCAAAATAAACTTGTGTGGAAAAATAAACTATTTGTTCTGCTGCCTATTGCATTCTTTGCTCTTTTGTTTAATGTATAAACAACTTTACATCCACTATTGACAATTTTAACATATTTTTGAATCTTGGAGCTGTAGTTAGTTGTTGGCAAACTTGATAGTTGACATATCTCATTAGCTCAGATCATGCTAAATCTAGAGATATAGAATGCTTGGTGTTATTATTAAAAATTACATAAATATTTGGACCATGTACCTACTGAATCTCTGTATGGGTTTAATCATTTTCCTATGTTTTCGAATGTCTTGTTCACATGCATTAGTCATGCACATACTGACTACCCAAAAATGTGTACTGTGTTGTCAAGTCAAAGTTTATATAGCGCTTTTTAAAATAGGTGTTGTCACAAAGCAGCTTTACAGCAAAATCTGGGTCCAAGCCCTTATGAGCAAGCCAGTAGCGACAGTTGCAAAGAAGACTCCCTAAGAAAGAAGAAGAAACCTTGAGAGGAACCAAGACTCAAAAGGGGAACCCATCCTCTTCTGGTCGACACCGGATACAAAACAATAACACAAGCAGTATACACAAAAAATAAGGTTTTACCATTAGTATACATGTTTTTAAAAATATTAAAAATTAATTAATTAGTTTTATTGAGGCAGACTTTACTATTCTCTATTTTCCTGCTGCTCAGTGGTAAATCAATGCCTCAATGGCCTTGCAGTTGAATTTTACAAACATTTTTGGTCTGACATAAAAACATTTTTATTCAAAGCTTATAGACCATTCTACTATGTTCCCTACCATAACACTCCTTTCCTGTGACTATGAGCTGCTTTCACATGTGTATGCCAACAGACTGAAAAGGGGGCTGATAAGGATAATCGATGGAACCTATTCAACTTTCATTAAAGGAAGAAATATGCACAATCATATTCTGCTGATTCTTGATATGCTTGACTATGATTTTTGTTACCAAATCAAAGGTTTATTTTGTTTTTAGACTTTTTTAAAGCTTTGATATGTTGGAATAAAATTTCAGTTTAAGCCTCTGGAAATATTAGGCTTCAGTCCACGTTTTTATGAAATAGTTTTTATGTTTTGTAATGATATTTATAGTAGTCTATTTATTGTAATCTAAAATAATATTTTAACCATAAATTTGTTTATAAACATTTGAAAGGGGAACCATTTAAAAGGGGAATCACCAAGGGTGTCGAGCTTTACTGTTTTTTAGATGTTGAGTTAATAGCTATTTATATTAAAAAGTCTGAGGTTGTTCATGGCATAGACATCCTTAGTAGAGAATTTGTTATAAGTCAGTTTATGATACAGCCTTATTTTTGAAGAATAGTGATATGGTCATCATAGTAGTTGATAAGGTTATTTTTTTTCAAAAGTGTTTGACTTCACTACTTGCAATTCACAATTATGCACTGAAAGAAATTGCTAATATCCCTGTGAATCCCTGTGAAGTTAAATATCTGGGCTTTTTTTTTTTTAAAATAAAACTGCAAGTGAGGTGCTGAATATAATTCCCAGGCTAGTTAAAGTGACAAGTTTGCTGAATCAGGGGTTAACTAGAGACTTGTCTATTTTAGGTCATATTCTTCTGTCAAACAAAGGGTATCCTGAGGCTTGTTTATCTATATTGCTCTTTATATATTTCTCTGAACGCAATTAAATCAGCCAACTTTGTCATATTTTATTTTTTAGTGGAGGAATAAAACACATTATTTATGAACATTTCAAGCAATTACAGATTATGAGCAAGGAGGTTTAAAGGCCATAGATTTTGAATCTCTTCTTGAGATGTTTAGGGTTAAATTTAGTACTGTTAAATCTCTATTACTACTGATCTATTACGATTACTGTGGTACTAATCCACAGTCTCTGTGGTATCATATACACAACAAAATTCTTGAAATGCCTCGAATTCCTTGCTAAGTGTGACTATTAACTTTCATAAATCCCTTTAAAATTATCACAGTTCCAGGACACTCAAGATAATGTGAGGTCTAGATGGGAGATGCTTGGAAAGCAGATTGTGACATCTGGGTTTTGTGATGGTAAGAGGCATTGAAAGACAAAGGGTGTGTCTCAAAACCTAGTGAGCTCTCTACATAGACAGCATTTTACGTCACAATATGCGCGCTCCCGACAAGAAGGCTGTCCCAGTTCTTAGATATCTCAAACATGCTGCCTACTGAGGTCTCTCATTTTGGCCCAATATCCAGAGAGCATCGGATGTTTCCTCAGCCGCTGAGGCAATCCCGCGATGCAGCGCGGCGCAACTTTTGTTTGAAGATGGCGGGCAGAAGCGCTTCACCAAGCTGCGACGTCATCTTCAAATGTAAGTTATTCTGATTTTCTGGGGTATTTATCTGTTTTCTAGTCATAAAGGTGCACAAACAGCCTATACTTTCCGCGTTTGACCACAACTATTGGGTGTGTCTCAAAACCTAGTGAGCTCTCTAAGTAGCCGCTGTTTACATAGACAGCTGTCTAAGTAGGCAGCGTTCCAGCTGTCATCTATCCTTATAAGATTGATAAATGAGACGCTCTAGTTAGACGGCAGTGACGTCGCCGCTTGTTCCCGCCCACTGCACGAGACCGGCGTTTACTTACCTCAACCGTCAGAATCACATTTAGCCAACATGGATCTGCTCTAACTACTTCGGTGTAATTATTATTAAACACGTATGATACTGTAGCAAGTCACATTAGCCCTTTTCACTGTCAGATTGGAAGTTTTATAGATAAATTTAGCAAATTCTCCTTGCTCAATGTAGGATTTCAGCCACTCAACAGTTCAGGATCTCCTTTGTATTTTTTGTCATATTTTTCACTTTATAATGCACAAAATGTTGTCAATGTTGACAGGTCTAGACTTTATGCAGGCCAATTTAGCAAGCGGACTCTTTTACTATGGAACCATGCTGCTGTAATACGTGCAGAATGTGGTTGTTTTAATCTATATCCCATTTAAGTGGAGTGCTACACATGACCTGTACACACTTTGTAGTGTATTACCAGTCAGCATTGTGGTGGCAAGAGTCCTACGACCATGGAGATGCTTTTCTGAGGTTTTCTGAGGAGCCTAAAACTGGTGCCAGATTTGGCTGCTCTGGTTAACTCTTCTGCAGCTGAACAGATAAACAGAGAACTGTCGTCAAGCAGATACTCCTTGTGCCAAATGAATGATGAACATTACATGTTTTCTTTGCGACTATATTTTCATCTTCACAACATTCGTATCAACCAAAAATATGCCAAGACCTTGGAGATGCTGACTAAGCAAGCCTTGCATATAGACATCACTGGAAAATGAGATTCGGCTCTCATGGTACTTGTTTTGGCAACAATTAATTACTTATAGTCTTAAGTAATTAAGATAATAATAAATTATTTTTAAATTAATAAATAATTTTGCTTTTCTGGTGATAAGGTTTGACCTCAGTGGTAATGGATGTAATTTCTCATTTCAACAGAGAGAAGTCAAGGAGTCCCATCTCCTGCAGACATGAATGCAGAATATCATCACATAGAGTGTGATGACAGTGTATTTTCAGTAGCCATGTTCCCTATTGCTCCTGAAAATCAGGTAATAAGAACATAGACAGCAGACCCCTTGTTTATGTAGCATAGTTTTACATTGGCAACCTATGCAATTTTGCCATGTATTTTTGGGAAAAAATTTAGGACAAACTCTTGAAGTTGTACACTGGGCGAAGGAATGACTGGCAGACAATCACAAGTTTTGATGATAACTTACACAACTTACACAAGTTTTGATGATAAATTACAATCAAAGACCTCCAGATTATCTGTCCACAGTATCTTCCTGTTGCAGAAATTGCCAAGACTGCCCTGTCTTACTGATGACACAAGACTTATTTTTTCTTTTGTATTAACTAATCCCTTAATTCCCTACTGTTTGAGGTTAGTGTAAAATGGTGATATGTGGCCTTTCATTTTTACAGGTCGTCAACAGTCAAGTGGTTCAAATTGCCTCAGAGAACCCAAACATGAGTATACTGAAGAGCTTACATCATCTACATCATTAAGTGACCCTTATTAGTCCCACAACAGGGAAATTTCACCTCCGCAATCTAACCCATCCATGCAGTGAAACACCACATACACACTAGTGATGCCAGAGTGTTTGTTCTTCTGCTACTACAGATTGTTGCTCTGTCAACAAACACATTCATTGTATGGCACAGGAAATGGCAAGCTAAAAGAAACATTCCGGATGAAGAAATAGCACCTGTATAGGTAGGATGCCACATTAGCATGTATATTTTTTACAAAACTAATTGAGGAACCTTCCTTTAAAAATGCTCTCTTACAGAACACTGAGAAAGTGCTGTGGCCACAGATTGTTGGGGGAACTGTTGGGGAAATCGCTACATTCTTTGGGTATCATAAACAGTCATTACTTTCAACTAATAATCTCATTGTTGTAAAGCAGGCAATATTGTTTAAAGGTTGTAATAATTATATGTTGGATTTTTTGTATAGGTTTTTGATATCCCTGGAAAAGAGATTCAAATGTATGACTCTGGAACCTTTAGTTACACAATGATTACATGGAAATGCTAAGGTACATTGTTTTTTTTCTTGATGTGGGTTGACAGATTGGCTGTATTTAACATATACATACAATTTCTACATATACGTGTGAAACTGTATTCTTTCAGAAATCTATTTTGTTGACACGATTCACTGACTGGGTGAAAGTGACAAATGCCCGGTCATGGAAACAAAATGACAAATAAATAAATTGTAGTGTGCTTGTTTGCACAATATGTCATTTTGTGTATGTAAATTTGTTTCAGCATTACATAGATACTATTGCTATTTAACATGTCAAAACAAGAGGTCTCTTCATTGCATGTGCATTGAACCTCTTTTACTTACATGCAGTCTTATTTTTCTTGGCACCCACTTTGTCATGTGGAGAAAAGGTTGTTTTGCATATTGATATTTTGCATGTATTTAGTGCTTGCTGGTGCCTACATGTAAATTTTGTTTTAGAATTTTTAGTTATAATTGAGCTATACCATCATAAAATAGAATTCAGAGCTTCTATCTGTGCAACAGATGGCTGAGTTGGATGTAAGGGCTGCCAAAATATCAGAATAAACTCTTCATTATGGAAAGATTTGCCGTTTACGTTTGCCTTGTGTCTGGTGAGGAGTGTGGCTTCTGAGGTATGATTCAAAGATTCAAGGATTTATATTATCCATACAAATACACAGGAAATACTTCTGACTCAGAAAAATACAGTGTTTGATGTCATGGTAGGTTTCTTCTGACATGTATGTATGTACTGACAAATGAATGTTTGTTTCATAGGACTTCCATCACGTCTAGAGAGAAAAGATGACCAAGGTGCTATAGCAGATAACAGTTGCATTGCCTGAGACATCTATGCTTGCGTTTTCCAGAAGACAGGAAAAAAATGGGCACAGTATATATTTTAAAGATTTGTGTTAAACATGTAGTTCCTTGTATAGTCTAATATTGTTGCAAAGTTATTTGTTTGTATATCATTGTGTTTTGTAGAACCATACATTCCCACATTAAAACAGTGCAGCAGATCCAGTGTGATTACTGTGACATGATCGAACAGTGACTGTGCAAGGATTGATGTATCCACACTGGACAAAGATGCACAATTTAGCTGTGGATGCCATCTCCCAGTGCCATACCCATATGAAAGGTAGAACCACTTATCTAGATTCCTCATATAATGGAGAATAATAGATAACTGACAGAAATAGTGTCAAATAATTTTTCTTAATTTGTAGTACACATGAAGCATTGTGGAAAGGCCTGGTTGCAGACTTGATAGAGGATGGGGAAATTCTGGTATAAGAATATGTTTTAATGCTTAACATTTGAAGTTATAATGTTTAACATTCTAACAGCTGCCTATGGTGATCTGTGCATTTCTAAAAACAAATTTCTATAGAAACTGAGAGATAATCTTCTATCTGGGACCTTGAAGTCACATTGAATGTTCCTTCGCAACAACCTTACATTTAACCGCGAAATGAAAGCTATGACTGAACGTCATTTCTGTGTTTCTGATGAAAAACAGGTAGTGTAATATCATAATAATTAAATTGAATAATTATTATGTTATTAAAATATTACTGTATCTACACAAATATTCTTAACCATATTGAATATGTAAATCAACTTTCAGGAAGAACTTAATGAAAATGGCTAATCTAGTACACTGTAGTGCACTTCATTCTGTGTAGCTGTACTCTTTACTTGTGTCAGAATGTAATACTCTATTTTATCTGCACATTGTAGTATTAATTAGTATTAATTACAGCTGCTCTTGAGTTGATCACCTGTGTATAGCAGCAGAATGAAATGCATTTTTTCAAATATTTCTACTGCTATTGTAGAAAAGGCATTTGCAGTTTTAAAACTTGACAAGAGTGAAGTCTGAAATGTCTCTTTCGTGCTTGACGTCATCACACCAGAGGCAAGGTCTACTTGAATCAGTTGTAGCTAGTCGGTTTCCTATTTGCGCTGACACATTTTCCCCTACAAGGTCACAATTCTTAAAGAAGCTGGAGGAGTTCCACTCATACCAGGCAGAAATGACTCGTGATTGGGACATTTCCAAGGTCTCCGGTGAATAAATTGAAAGCAAGAAGGTAAGGACAGGATGTATGGGATTTTGTTGTTTATAAGAACTTAGGTATTCAGCTTCAGGGCTGCTTTATCATGCAGCACTCTGATTTATCCTTTTGTTCCTCTAAACCAAACTGTTTATGTTGCTAATACCAATTATTCAACTATTACCAGTGTTTTTGTTGCTCTGGGTTCCTACGTGAAATAAGGTTCATTACTGTGAATTAGATAATATTAAGGACAATTAATATTAATTAATGAATTAGATAATATTAAGACCTAGGTCTTTAGGTTTAAATTAATCACATTGTATATATTATATAGACTTTTGATATCCATAGAAAAAAGCTTTTGATGTATGGCTCTAGAACCATAACAAAGTTATAACATGGAAATTGTACATTTTTTATACTGCCTGTGGACAAAAAGTAGATGTAAATATGTAAATTTTGCAAATACGTAAATTTGTTAATAAAATTATTTGAATGCTACTTTTGTTGTCCAATACTTGGCTACTCAAATTAAGATGAACTCCTACTAACGAAGTCTTATGGTATTCATTTTTTAATCCACCCATTCCTGTTATGTAGCCCATTAGACTTCCTCAGAATGTTTGAAGGTGTATAAGATATTTACAGAGATTTGAGGACTGTGCCTCTTATCACTGCAGTGTCTCCATTTTCAGTAAATTTTTTTTTTTTAATTTTAATAAAGTTGATATAGCGGTGAATAAAAATACACATTTTGAGCCAGCAGTTTTAGGACCTTTGTTTATTTTCTTTCCAACACCAATCTAAAGTAGTGTAGATAGGGGCTTATTCACAAGCTTATTCATATTCGAATTCATATTCTAAATACATGAAAAGGTGTGCAAACTTTATATCTGTCCTTGTATGTGTTTGTCAATCTAAGTTATGTTTATACCTTTACATTTTTACATACTTTGATCAGAATTAATATTAGGAAATTAAGATTAATATGATAAAGGTATGCTAATGTAGTGATAGCTCATGAATGCTGATAAACTGTCAGCAAGTCATGAATATTGTTAAACCCCACTGCTAACTGGCTAGCCAATTACAGTTACATCATAGCTGACTGGAATTATAAGTTGCACTGGCAGCTGCTGGTGTGCTTTTCACCTGTGACAAGAATGCACGTGGATAGGTAACTCCCACCACTACCCAACTGGCGGCTGCCGTCTGCCACTGAATAACTGGGGGCTGCCAGTGACCGACAGGCGGCCACCACTGACTGATACTTCCTGCTGCCAGCTGCCAGTAAGAAATTGAAGCCTTACAGGAAATCAACATGAATATGCCAAAAACTGGATTTGGGCCGGCAGTCTGAACATAGCCTGAATGCATGAAATATGGCATGTTCCATCATTCTTAGCAAAAAAATAATAATAATTTCAGTGAAGTTAATGTAAAAAGAATAGTTAATTGTTGAGCAATGCAAACTACTACCTGCATTAATCTAAACAAGAAAACAGAAAAAAGCTCCCATGCTCAAACATATGAATCTGTCTGGTAGTAATGAAAAGAAAAATTGGTCTAGCTGATATAGGCTGGTGATACTGCTAGTATTGGACTGAACTGGTTGCTCTTGTGGCTGAAATTTCAAGTAAGCCTACTTTCTGATGTCCATGGTGATAATTTTATCAAATATTCTGGTTTGCTGCCAGCTAGAGAACCTGCACAAGTAAACCAGAGTTCAGTTCATATTCATATTTTTGTCTATATTTACTGACTGCATTGCAAAGACTTGTATTTATATGTAAATATATTGTAAATATAGTTTGTTGTATAAATAAAATAATAAGGTTGCTCCCCATTCACACTTGAAGTTTACATGACTACTATTTCTGCTTATTACGAATGTGTGGTTTGTTCAAGGTGCTGTAAATAACAGCGTTATACAATAAGATCCGACATCAACATCACAGCTTCTAGTGTCTTTGCTAATGTTAATTATAAGTTGAAAGAGGGAACAAGCATGGAAAATCTTTTTCAAATGATTTGACTAGGTAACGATGTCAGTTTCTCACCACTTAGAGAGCATTAAAATGCACCCCATATTTTTAGCGTGGCACTCTTACTTGCGAACGTGCAGTCCGGCAGGTTGTCATTTACCGTAAATCCTCGTCAAAACCATAGCGAACCCTCACCACAAGCCAGATTTACTAGTCGTACCAGAGATTCCATTTTAACCCGAGGTAAGCAAAGTGAAACGCTGCGGTCATGTTTTTACATGAAGTTATTATGGCAAGGACCACAAATATTTCTGGATTTATACTACGACCGCTCTCTGATGTATCAAGGCTTGTCCTTTGCTGCAGTCATATTGGTGTTGCTTTTGAATTGAATATGTTTAGCTTTGACGTTTAAATACAAACTGTTAAATCGCTCTTAGAAACAGCCCTTCATTGCCCACATTGTTTAGTGTGGATGGGGTGGATGGGCTGGAATGAGTCTGCGCATTTTCCAGAGGGTTTGTGGGTTTCAGTCCAACGATACTACAGGCTCCGGGACGTGGCAGCCAAACACGCTACGTACCGTTCACGTAGCAGAAAGATCTCAAAGGGTTTAACTGTAGATACTTTGAAGAATTTTAAGACTTGTCTCTGCATCTTTAACAAAGAAAGGTAAGGATTTTTTAGTTAATAACGTCTTACATTTTTGAAGCCGTTACTCATTTGTGTCGCCTATAACGTCCTTCAGTCGTGTTTACTAATGTTTCTCTGGATTGCTCAAGCACGTTAAATATGTAGGCTATACAGGTGACCGTATCGTGCAGCAAGCATGTTTTAGATTACGTTTAGTTATCTTTTTAAGTTTAAAATTAGCATGCGTTATGTTCTGTGTGGACAAGGCTTTATGTCAGAAAACTTAATTTTTAGTGTCCATCTTGTAAATCTCAATTACAGGCATAAGCCTTGGTTTCCAGTTGTTAGGAAGTGCTTCCCTTGTATTCGGCCGTTGGAAGTGGTGTAGACCCCACTGCAGTGATTTGGAAATTCTGGAAACATCTCGTAAAGTTGCTGACGTCGCCGAAGTTTACAACTAAGTTAATGGCGGGTCGACAAAGGAATCTGCCTACAGTCTGACCAGAAAAGTAGCTATATAACCAGCAAAATACACACTTGTATGTTTTTATTAAGTTCTGATCTTGGGAAACCGAGTTTTTACGTAAAATGCACAGGCAAGCTCAACAGGCTGGAGTTAGTTTGTTGATTAATTACAGCCAATAATGATTTGTAGACCCAAATTGTCTTCTTAACGCATCGGTTATAACTAAATGCCCGCATCTGGAATGTGGGTTCATGTAGTTTAGTTGTGCAGTATGCCATTTGTTGCTTTAGCTTGCGAATGTAGGTCTTCGGAAGGGAAGGATGGCAGAGCCGCTTCATTTTTTCCATCTGTAGCACTGCACCAGTCTATTAGACATCTTCACTATTACGCTAGTGACATAGAAAACTGCTCATGACAGCAAATAAATATTGAATACTTAAAAAGTCAAGCCATACATAATTAGAATTATTGCTAAGCTGTTCTTTATTAAAGATTTTTGAAGGCATCTTTATGACATTTCGGAGAAGCCTGTAGATTTTTCAGTTGTGATTAAAGTAAAATCATTTATTATGATGATTCATGACGTTGTAATGTTTACAAAATCACTCTTTTAGAGAAAAGGTATTTCTACCATCCTTCTTGTTTGTTCAGTTTAGTCACCTGCCTCATTTGCTTTGCAGCTCTTTGGAAAAATATCCTGTTTCAGGATACAAATAGTTTGTACAGCTTTGATCAAACGACTATGTAAGAGACATTCTTCTGTCAGCTGTCAAACAGTGCAGAAATGTAAAGAACGGTACAGTGTTATACTGAAATCACTATTGCAAAAAGTCATTGTTTCCTCACAGAACGTTAGAGAGAAAATGTATAGATTACTGTGTATTACACTAGTTTATGGCTTTGGAAAGAGTGGTTCTACGGAAATGTCTTTCTCCAAAGAAATTATCTCTATCTTAACAATATTGAGAAGTCATAAGTAACTTAAATCATTAGGAATGATAATGGGATTTTGAGTTTATTAGTTTATTTCCATAAAATATGCGTAGAACAATGGGGCAGTGACTGGTAAGTGACTGGTAATTTTTTTATATATATATATATATATATATATATATATATATATAAATTTTAAGTTTTTCAGGAAGCTGTTCAGCAGTTTTCATAGAATGTTTTTATAAAGTAAGCACACATGGTAACGTAGCTGTTTACTTTTATTGTATTTACAATAAAAGTAAACAGCTACTTATTTACAATTTCCACACAGATTTACAGATGCACACCTTTGTGCAAAACTCAGTTTGTGGCATTTTGTTACCTACACATGAATGCATCAAGTAATTTTTAAAAGTTTGTTTGTGCTTTATTGAGTAGAGCCTAACTGATACTTTTTTTTTCAGGGCTGGTTCTGTTTATTAGCAATCAAGGACATTTAATTAGAAAAATATGTAATTAAATAAACACCTTTGTGCCATGCGCCTGTCCCCCGGGCCCTGATGATGGCTGCGAGAGCCGGCAGGAAGGCGGGACCTAAACCTGGAGTGCAGATGGGGAGAGGATTAGATCAGCAAGGGAAAGGTGGATGGCGCACGAGGCAAGGCCACTTTCCTGCTGGCTCTCGTGGCCGTCATCGGGGCCTGGAGGACAAGCACATGGCACAGCCTTCTTAATACATTAATAATAAAGCTTTTTGCTTGCCCACAGAGCATAAACATTTGGAAAACAATAACTTGATATATTTTGAAATAAGCAATTTTTGATGCCTGTCTAATGCACATACAGCCTACAGAAATGTTTGATACTTGTAAGACTATGTAGATGCTAGCTGTTGATTGGATCTTAAATGTTTGTGGAGGAGTGCACTGTTATTGTGTCTTGATAGCTAACACAGCCTCTGGCTTGTGTAAAAGAAGACACAATCCTTTTGAGGAACAAGGGAGCAAATCACATATTCTGTGGGTAGTCTGCAGAATCATACAGTCATGCAGAACATGTGATCCCGAATTACTCGCAAGTAATATTAGTTAAAATATATATGATTTTTGTGCTCTTGCATACTCTTGTAGTGGTGACACTGTCTCAAATGTGTCTTCAGAAAGACCCTGCTGAAATATTTTGGCCAATGCTGGCGACCCACAGTTTTATCAGCATCGGTAAAAACATTGCCTGTTTTGTCGTGGCATTGCCAGAATTGAAGCAGGAAAGCTCCTGATGAAGGAGCAGAACCTTAGATGGTTGTGCCACCAGGACACTTTCATTTTAAATAAATCACGACAATACAAGCTGAACTGTACACAAAAGATTATCTTGGTTTGTAAAACAAAAACCTATTAAATACATCCTTACCTAATTTTTAGTGTGAGGTTAATGTTACAACTAACAACCTTTTTAGACAATTAATAAAAAAGTGGTAAAAACAGAAATCAAAACTATTAAGAACTGTAGGTAGCCCCACCCTCAGAGCTACAATATTTAGGATGTTTAAAACTGTTGTTTATTTAAGAAGTATAACAATTGAGAACTGAGAGTCAGTAAAACATTGTTTAACTTGAACTCCTGTGAGTATTTTCCTTCTTCCCCTTTTTACTATTAATAATTGGCTTAGACCTGACACTGGCTTCTTTTTAATTTGGCACAGATATGGATGAAAAACGAAAGCCTTTATTGAAGGCTGTGCCCTTCTGCTTACATCATCTGTTAGTGTTTGTCCGTTGGGTTATAGAATAATATACCCTGCACATGCCTAGAATGCTTTAGCCACATTTAGCCAAACTGCAGGCCATTTTCATTTTCACTGATTCTTTTGAGCAACCTCAAGGTAACTATGGCTTCTTCTGTTTGTTAGCTGACCTGCTATCAGTGCAGGCAGTTCAGGATTTAGTCCCACAAACAAACTGTTTTGTTAATGAATGCAATCTTGTATTTAAGGGTATACTTGTTGTTTTTTGAAGCAGGAGCCAGTGTCAAAGATGCAAATTTTGGCTGTGACCGTTTGGACTACGTGCTGCATTTGCTGTATCGTAGAGGCAGAGATCTTCACATCAATTGGTAAAGCTCTGAATTTGCCTTGTGTTAGTTTAATTGTTTGTCTATGTCTTATTTTTCTTTAAATAATCTGTGTTTTTGCCACCTTAATGTGATGCTTTACCCAAAAATCAAATTTGCTCAGTTTTCCCCCATACTCTGAACACAGTCAATCAGCCAAGACATGTTTGACATGACTGACATGTGCTTCTTTAGTTTTGAACTGGAGATATGAGGCTAATGTAGCAAAGAAATAATGAAAACTTATAGCTGCCAGGTTAGCATTGTACAAACTGCATGCCGTAATATCACACATGGTTACTAGGTAATCTCAAAAAGACTTGCTTATTGACAAAAGTATGGACAAAATTCAGGTTTCAAAATGAGTGCTAATGTTATCTTTAGATATTTGGTATATTTTTGTCCATTAGATTAATTGTGCAATAAAGTGTCAGAAATCACGTTAGCACACCTATTCAAGATTACTTAACAGTTTGATGAGGTGAGGGAAATGTGTCATTTAGGCATGCATTATACTTTCTTAGTGGCTATGTTTTATTACTTGTTATCAACTTTAACTCTAGGGCAAACCTAAAGAAACAGTTAGGAAACCAAACGTGTTTTGGCTAACTGACTTCACTTGGGATAAAGCAGTGTAAATTTGACTTGATTTGCCAAATCATTGCTTTAAGATTAGGTTATTGCCAGAGGTGCTTACTCTGACCCTTGATCTAGGACTTTTAATCACTCCCATTATCACTGCCAGAAGTTTATCTCTTTGTCCTTCTTTGGTCTTCTATCCACTAAGCTTGGATACACACAAACACACAGATGTGTTCTGTGAAGTTCTGGTGGAACACAGAGAAAGTTTTCCCCAGTTTGAAAATAGACTCACTAACTGGCTAGCCGACAGTTAGTGTGGTGAGAGGGATAATTGTATGCCATTCAAAAACTTAGAAGTTACTGGGTGGAGACATGTCTCCTCTACTGTTTTGCTGCCAGCTTTTTATACATATAGTGGCCGTATATGACTTATTTTTTTCCATACTGTGGCCATATTATTTCATTGATCAGGAAAATAACAAAAATATCTTACAGAATTTATACAGAACAGTAAGCAAACACCACAGCAAACTGTTCATATTGGTCTGAGTAATAACTGAACAAGTTGCGTTGGAACAGCAAGTTTAAGCTGTTGATGTACTTCACAGATTTTTTAAAATATGCACAATTCAAAGAGAATATACTGTTCATCTGGTATCAGACTTGGCTGAGGTGCTTTTTATTTGAAAGCTTTTGATTAGAGACCTTCTTCATCGTAGTGAAACATAGACTGAAATTTCTTTACAGCGGTGGTATAGGAACCATAGCTCAAGATGTCTACAACACAAAAATATAATTTTATTTACTGTCTTAAAATACCAGATTCAAAACTATTGTAAAACAATGTCTCAAGCATGGAATTAAATACTAGATGTCTGGTTCCTGTCTCTACCATTAAGAACAATTCTTGCTCACCAAGTTTCTCTAGAAAACGGAATTTCACTTCAAATCCCCCTGAATTATTTAATTATGCAGAAATTACAAAAAATCAGTGTTATTCCCCTTTAATGTTGCTATGAAACCATATGTTTGTTTATAGTTCCCAGACCTTTTCAGTTTTTAGAGTCTTTTTCTGTTGTCTTACGCACAGGCCAGATGACAGACCTTATTTTTATAGAGAGAGAAGTGGTTCAGTCTCTAAAGGAATACATCCAAGCTGAGGAGTCCAAGCTTGCTGCTGTGAAACGGTAAGGCCTTGCTTAAATCAAAAATATCATGTGAAGTTTCTCTCTTTGGGCCTGTAGTTATTAGTCATCATATTACTTTATTTGCTGTACTGTACTAAAAGATGTTGCCCATTTGTTCATTTGCTTGCTGGTTTCCCACAGCTGGGCTAACAAGCTGGAAGTGTTGACTCATGCTTCTACCTCAGACCCAGAAGGTTTCTTGGCTCACCCAGTGAATGCCTACAAGCTGATGAAGAGACTCAATACGGAATGGTCAGAGCTGGAGAGCCTTGTGTTAAATGACCCTTCACATGGTAAAGAGTGATCTTGACTTTGAGTCTGAGAAGATTATGTATGTAAGAATCTTTTATGTAGGACTTTTAAGACTACATAGGCTCACATTTTAACTGAGCTGCCGTGCATTACTGTGATAATGAGAAACACAGGCCACCATTGCTCATGTGCAGCATTTTGTGCATTCTGCTAAATGCTGGCCTCAACTTGAACTCCCCAAAGCATGTGTTCGCATGTTGCCACGTGGAGTGTTTGCAGTTGTCATGAGTTGCATTTAAGTGAATATGAAACGAAGAGAGAAGAAAAAGGCTCAGTTTGTTTGGAGAGAAAATGTATTTGTGGTGGTGTCAAGCTGTACACCCAGGGTTTCACAGCCTCGAAAGACTGGAAGACTTATTATCTTGAGAACAAAAGAGCCGTGAAAATGGCTATGGATTGTTTCACAATGTCAAAATCAGTTGTGGGTTCTTCCTAATAGTTTCACAATGTTTGAATAATTTTGTCAGTTCTTCTAGCACCCAACTCCAATTCGAAATAACTCAGTACTTGTGTGTGGTCACATATTTTCTGGATATGCCAGACCTTAGTATGATACTGGAGACTGGATATGTTCATTAAGACCACAATTTAAGGGCTTTAAAATTTAGTTAGGGGCTGCAGTTGTATCATAGAGAGATCCCATATGATTGTAAAACTTGTATCATAAATCATAAATACCCAATGAGGATCATTCTCATGGTCTGTAGAAAGCTATTAGAAGAAAATGTAAAGAATTGTAAACATAGACACATTTGGAAAGATATAAGATTTCAGAAGATTTCTTAATTTAAAGGTATAACCACATTTCTAAAGCTATTATCCTAATTTTTAACAGTGGTGCTGTTAACCTTTGTTGTTATCCAGGTTTCATCTCAAACATTTCAGTACACAGACAGTACTTCCCTGATGAGGAAGATGAGAAGGGGGCAGCGAAAGCTCTGATGCGTCTTCAGGACACATACAACTTGGACTCTGAGAGCTTTTCTAAAGGGAAACTGCCAGGTCAGGGGCAGAACTCTGGTAACCATCATCTACTTTTCTCTGTGAATCTTTGTAAGTCTGTGTATACATTTGAAGTTCTAATGTTCTTTCAACATGTGATCCTACATGGTTAAGTTGAGGACAGATTTTTTTCTTGTCTATAGCTAAATCGTTCTCCATTGTCATTTTAGATCTTACTTATGGGATCGTATTGTAGTGGATTTGGCTACTTCTATTCACAAACTGAGCATTATTCTGGGGACCCTTTTGACTTGTTAGGAATCACAAGGTGTCAGGATGTCTGGTCAAAATCCAACCAGCCAAGTTAATGGCCCCAGAATTCCTTGAGGACTCTTTTCACCCCCTCATGTGTCATTTTTCTCACCTCATGGCAGCATTGTGCAAGAGAGGAGGACCTGAACCATCTCTCCTCTCAACCAACCCAGTATGTCCAGAGACATTTTACTTGACAAAAGTAAATTCTGGATACAAACTAAGTTTTATAACTTTTGGAAATTCCTTTCTGGAGTCCCTTTATCTATCTCTCTTCCCCACACCCACACATCTTGTTTACCTTCTTCAATCCTTTATGACCATTGTGAGAGAAAGACATCAGGCTCGAGATCCATGATAAAACACACCATGACCAGATAACACTCAGTCTGCAATGCTAATGGACCCCCTCATAAAATCTCCTTTGCAAACACTCTGTTCACCTTTGTCCCACTTCTATCTCTTTCCCTCACTACCCTTTTTCATATGCACACATTCCATAGGTCTTACAACTCCAGCTTGATTGTCCCACTTTCTTGCAAGCTATATGACATGCTAATCTTTAATCAAATGCTGAATCAAATGACTCCCCTCTAGGTTAGGCATTTCTCACTGTCTTTTGAAGTCAAAATAAAATAAAAGAAATAAAAGATATCGAAATAAAAGAGCGCTTTCCTGTATGCGCAGTGTTTTCTGCGTCTTCTTCTACACCACTAAAGTGGACATTGCTAAATTTCCTTCGGGATCAATAAAGTATCCATCCATCCATCCATCCAAATTGATCTGTGAAAGGATGCCCTCTGTGATAAAATATCAATGTGTTACATGAACTCATATTTCCCCATGCAGAATCGTCAGATGTAAATTAATGCTAAGATTCCCTACAGTTGTGAAAGTTATTTTATAATTGATAGGTTAGAGCTCCTTCTTTTTTAATTAGTTTTAGAAATTGAGGATAGAAAGTTATATTATAAAGTTAAATATATTCCTGTGAGTCATGTTTTAACCTCATATTTGCTTTATTCTTTTGTAATGTTGATTTCTCTTAATCTTCAACATATAACTGTAAGTAAAGTTTGTAATTTATGTAACTATTCTCACAAAAAATGCAATACTTTAAGCATAGTAGAGGTTCTGTCATATATATCCACAGGAAGTATTAATATTGACTAGATATCTCAGCATTTTGGAATTATGTTCTGTTCTTAACAAATCTAATTTTCTTTTCTTAGTTATAATGTTTCTTTTAGAAGTAGGATTGTTAGAGGTTTCAAGTAGCTTTATGTAATCGTGTGTGAAATCAGAGTGCTTCAGATATAATATGTTGTATGTTCATTAGTTTCTTGTAAATTTACATTTGAGACAGTAATAATGGTTATATATGAAATTACATGCTTATGTAATTATGTTCTTTTACTTAATGCTATGCGACTATGCTCAAAAATCTATGTATGTGAAGTTATTTTATGATGAATTTGAGCAGATATTCAGACAAAGTGATTGCATATTCATTAGGAAATTGAGTGTGTAACCCCTTTTTCACTGCCTTAGCTCTGCCTACAAGAGATATGTTAATATATGAGGACAGGCAGAGAAAGAAAGGGAGAGGGAGAAGTAACACTAGAAGAAGAATTTAAGAGCTCATACTTTGCACTTTAAATCTGCAGATCTTAATCTTTGTTTTATTTCTCAGAAAGTGTGTCTCCGTTTAGTCAGTTTTTTTTTTATCTTCCCTCATACAATATTCTGAAAGAATTGTTGTTAATTATTAGACTCACTGCGTTTGCACTTTGGAAAGTCGAACTAAGCTGTGTTTGTGTTCAATTTCTGTCAATTAATTTAGAACATTTTGATTGGCCAATGATAGGTCATTGCAAAATCTGCAAGCATAGTTTAAGAATTGCGGATAGAAAAAAAGCGCAGACAAGCCATCACAGCAATGTGAAACTGCTGTCTGATGTCACCAGCCACTGCTGAAGAACTAGAACAGTCCACCATCGTCCGAGAGGCCGACATAAGGCAGCTGAGGTTCACCGTGCTCACTCGTCCAGGCCGGTTTTTGTGATGACTCTGCTGTGACCCAAGGACCTCCTCTAACCAGTACACAGGCTACTCTGTCATCCCCTTTTTAATATATAAAAATAGATAAGTCATTTACAAACATAGATCAGTCGTTACACTAGCATTTATATTCCATTCTGGATACTGCTCAAACACCATAAAAAAACTATTAGTTTCATCTAACTAAAGTATGTGCATTCGTTGAATCTAATGTCTCTAGTTTCTCTCTGCGTACCTATTAATTTATCATTTAGTGCCTTTTTACCTTGTTGTTAATGAATGACCCTATATTAAAGTTATCACTTGTTTGGTTGTGTGTGTAATTATCACAATCCAATTCATTGATCCCTGGCTACAGGAAAACCATAACCTAAGATGAACCAAAAGTAGTGTTTATGGTGTAAGTGGAAGAAAGGTGAATTAGGTAACAGTCTCCCGCTACAATACCTTACAGTCAAGCCAACATATAGATTCAGATGCAGATTGTTCTTGTCTTGTTAGGCTTCCTTGATTGGAATGCAAACTTGAATAACTCCCTTCTCCCTTCTGTAAAGAAATGTGCAGTGCCTTAATTTCCTTTTGTTGAATGTAAGTTTAAACAGAGGTGCACTACAGTGTTGCACCTATAAAATATTTTGACATGTCAGCAGAATCTTTTTGCAGCTTCAGAGCATAAACAGTAACTTTGACTTTAGTGGGCATCAACTCCTCCTCTTACCTACTACAACCCTAATCTATACCTTCTCCAACTGATCAAGCCCTTAATTAGCCTGATCAGGTATATTAGATTGGGGTTAAAACTAAATTCTGCAGAACTTTACATCTTCAGTAGAAGGGTTTGTTATGAAATTAAGAAAATGTGCTCAGTGGCGTGTGCTTTGTTTGTCTAGGTGTGCGCTATAATGCCTTTCTGACGGTGGATGACTGTTTTGACATGGGGAAAACAGCCTACAATGAACAGGACTACTACCATGCGGTGCTGTGGATGCAGCAGGCCCTCAGACAGATGGATGCTGGGGAGGAAGCCAAAGCTTCCAAGGCTGATATCCTGGACTACCTCAGCTACTCTGTTTATCAGATGGGTGACTTGCAGCGAGCCACTGAGCTTACCCGACGCCTGGTGTCCATTGGTAATTTCTCTTACGAAGACCAGTTGTTAAAGCTGAGTTAACCTTGCTTATAATCTGGATATTCCTTTGCATAAAGTGTGCTATATTTGATTAAATGTGTTTGCTTTACTTCTGTGACTCACAGATCCTAGCCACCAGAGGGCGGGAGGGAATCTGCGCTACTTCGAGCGGCTGCTCGCCAAAGAGATTAGAGAGATGGTCCGCAACAAGCAGGATCTTGCCAAAGAGAAGCCTATTCAGCTGGGGACCTATGAGCGCCCTAGGGACTACCTGCCTGAACGAGAGATCTATGAGGCCCTATGTAGAGGAGAGGGTGTCAAAATGGTGAGTCTGGGGGAGGAAATGATCTACATGTGACTTGCATCTGTTTAAGATAAACAAGCATAAGAACTATTTTGGACTTCAGAACAGAGTGATTCTGCAACCTTAAACAGATTATGCAGTTACTAGCTTTGCAGTGTAGTGATATGTAGGGGTGTATTGATCGTTAATTTTATGGCAGATTCCAAGTTCTTTATGGCCAAATTGCCAATGGCTGATTTTTATTGGCCAAATATAACAATAAGATAATTTTTTTTTTGCTCTTTTCACAAAGCTTGCACTTTGAAGGTAAATGAAGACACTGATATGCGACATGTAGGCTCCACACAGTCAAAGATGTGCGCTCACTTCGGGCAAAGTTTTACCGTGCCTGGTTGGGAAGACGACTGGATAAAAATATATATCATGTATCATATATATTGCTGACTTCACAGATTTGTTTTTTGTTTCTCCACAACTCAAAATAGATTCACACAGATGAATTAGTTTATAGAAGTGTGACAAAGCTTTTTAAATGTGAGATGGTAAGCTAAGGTTAAACTCACTCTCACATAGACTCCAAAGAGAAGAAGCAAGCTGTTCTGCCGCTACCGAGATGGGAACAGAAATCCTCGCCTCCTGCTCAAACCCATGAAGGAAGAGGATGAGTGGGACAATCCACACATCGTCCGCTACCTGGAGGCCCTTTCTGATGAAGAAATTGAGAAAATTAAGGAACTGGCTAAACCTAGGGTGAGCCCAAGCAATTATTGGTCGAAATAGACATGAAAATGTCTAATACAAACACAACACTGTATATATAGATTCGTTCTAGTATCATAAAAAAAGACTTTTATGTAACATATATGTAATTTAAACTAACAGTGAGGGCTGGTAATTGTGTTTTTAAAGTCAACCTGAAATCAAGATGTGTATTTTTTTTACCTTACTAGTTAATGTCCCTGGTCAAATTAAAAAGAATTCATAATACTGTATAATTTAAAAGACAAAAGTGGCGTTTCCTCATCAAAAAGTTGCAGCTTTTTTTCTAAAACGTCTTAATAGTTTTGATTACATTTCTATGCGCTAACGGGTGGGGAAAAATATTAGTTGCCAATAATATCATATTTCACCACCTGCATCATTAAGGCTGGGCTGTTTATATACACACTCTACTTAACAATCTGAGGAAAATTTACATGCACACTACAAGTAAACAGATCCAAAATTACTCACATGCGTAGAGTAACACTTAGTGTAACCATGACAACAAGCATCATGTGTGTCCTATCAAAGTGAAACAGGGAGCAGTATGTTACAGTTGAGTTTTGAGTTATCATTTTTAATTTGCTCTATAGTTTGTGTAAACCGAGTGTTCTTCATTTGCTCATATACTTGTCTGAACAGCTTGTTATTGCGAGCTTTAAGGCCATCCTTTCTGCTAACTGTTTTTTTAAGTCATTTAAAGTTTGAAGCATAAACTTCATCTCCTCTGCAGACCAGTCGGTTTCTGGCCCCTGCTATATTGAACATTTATGATGCAAATGCACATGCGAAGAACATACTTAAAATTTCTGATTTGGAATATAATCAGACATAGGCATTAACATAGCTATTATTCTTCTGTTTAACAGAGTTTTCACAGAATCACCCAACTCATTCAATTGGACAGAAATTGTATTTGGAATGGCCTCAATCAAAATAGTCTGTTCTGATTGAAGCGTATACATGGACGCATTCTATTCTGATTGAGCTATTAGTTGGATTATTAACAGATTATGAGGCAGCATGTAAACATGACCAGTGAGAAAAAATGCTCAGCTAGCTCAGAGATCCTCCCTGATACAGTGTTTCACTCAGAAATTAGTTGACTTTGATATCCATGTAGCTAATTAGGCTTTTTGCAAGTAGCAGAAATGTTTTAAGTATTAACCATTGTTTTAAAATAAACCCTTGAACAGCAATATGATTTTTTTTTAGTTCTTGTTGTCAATAAAATGTTAAGGAGAAACAGAGAAACTTAAAAAAAAATGTGGTAAAAAGACCCTAAATATTATTCATTATTTTGTCTAGCTTGCAAGGGCCACTGTGCGAGATCCAAAAACAGGCGTGCTGACGACAGCTCATTACAGAGTATCCAAAAGGTGAGTCAAGAAGTACAGCAAACCTGTATTGCATACAACAAATCGGTAATGATGAAAATGCCTAATGTGAGTGAGTGCATGCATTGGAACTACGAGGCTGATGTTGTTAAAATCTGCTATATGCTTCTCGTAACTCCAGTACAAAACTAAAGAAGCAAACCATGGACACGAAACATGTTTTGACTAATTGTCTTTGTTTGGCTTAAAAAGAGAATTGTGTACATTTGATTTTGGTAAACGATTTCTTTTAAGTGGTATGGAAAAGGCTTAGAATTTTCTGCAGACAGCATGTCTGTCTCACTGTGAAACAGCAGCAGAGAAATGTGCTCCACTGTAGCTTAATGGCTTAATAATAACAGTGAAAGAGAATAAGAGGAAAAGAATAAAACATTTCATGTAAATATAATTTGTTATTTGGCAAGCTGATTAAAATTACACCTATCTATTGTTTTTAGCAAATTTTATTCACCACATGGGTGACTGCTGCCTGTCAGGGATTAATCTTTTTCAGATATCAGATTACATCACTCTATTTTCCAGCCCTAAAAAATACAGAACTGTGTTTGCTTGCTGATGTATTTCTGTGTGTTTGTGATCTTTAGTGCATGGTTGGAAGGAGATGAGGACCCAGTCATTGCACGTGTAAATCAGAGAATAGAAGATGTCACTGGTCTAACAGTGGATACAGCTGAACTTCTCCAGGTGTTAAAATGCTCCATAAACCTAAACCTTTAATATGACTTAAAACTTTAGTCTACCTTGGATGCACTGAAGAATTAAAGAAAAACTCTACTAAGGGTACAGCCCTGTTTAGTTTTCCTTTGTGTATTTTTTTCTTCTCATTTATTGAGACATTCTCTTGCTTGTTCTCTCTCAGTTGCTAAACATATCTTTAACTGAATCATGGCCTGGTTTAAAAAAAAAACTCGAAAAATTTGGACTTTGCACTTTCATTCAGCTCAGTTGATAGTTCTTATGTTTTTTTTTCATTGCTGTGCTCTCCACCTCAATAGAGATGAAAATTGATAAAAATGAAAAGCAGTGGAAAAGCAGCCTGCTAGTCAGCAAATACATCCTGAGATTCAAGATTTTTAAGCAAGACTGCTCTTTTTCCCTGACTACTATAATATTAGTCGAATGCTAATATGTTCCACTATGCTAACAATCTCCCTAAATTTGCTTTGGTCATTTTAAAACTGTTAAATTAGGGTTAAGTAAAGTTATATATAATACATTTTGACTGTAACAGATCTGTGCATGGACAATCCTCATTAGATTTTATACAGGATTTTGAACATCATAGACTGTTCATGCAAAGCCACACAAGATTCTTTTAATTTTCTCTGTGGTCAGTGGGCTGTTTTGCCCTTGTGTGAAATAAACTAAACATCTCATGTAATATATAATTAGAATTATATCTGCTATGATCTATATTTTTTCCTCTATTTTTAAAACAGGTTGCTAACTATGGGGTTGGAGGTCAATATGAGCCACATTTTGATTTCTCCAGGGTAAGTGCTTGTACAAGGCTTGCATAGCTTTCAAAGATTTAGCATTTTGTATGAAGCTGAGAACAGCTTAAATTTTACTTGGACTACTCATCAGAACATGCCTGCTACAAAATCTGGTGCAGTATGTTTTTCCTTGTACTATGTATATTTTCAAAAGCTTACACAAATCCAATCAGGACATGGCATGTTCAGTTATAACTACGTTATTAGTTGATTTTGTTATCTCTTGGACTGATTTTACTAACAACCTGATAAATTACAAATTTTAATAGTTGTGGTTTTACTAGTAAAGATTGTGCTTGTAGTTGGCCTTGATGGAACTGATGGAAATAATGGACAAAGTTTACAACTTCTTGTGGTAGACATACTGATTTATCATGCTTCAATGTAATGTTAAATTGTGAACCACGTACTAATTGGCCCTTATTAATCAAAGTTTCAAACAGTCAAATCTAACGATTAAATGAGTGCAAATTTTACCTACAGTTTTGTTATTCATCAGTTTCATTTTAGCATAAGTGTATGAGCAAACTCATGTCTGTTAGAACTATGTGTAAATTTGAGTGTAAAATTTGAACAGCCTGAAACTTTACAGTAAATAACATAAATAATAATAGCAATAACAGTAAAAACAGCAAATAACAATGAGAATATTAATAACTTTGCACACAGTTGTCCTCACTAAAGTTCCATATACTTTGCTTTATACTACATATACAGTAAATATATACATATACATTTGTTTTATACTGGCTCACTATCGAAATATCTACATGAATTAGGCAATGCTTTATGTAAATCCTTTTTATATGAAGGCACATTGTGGCATGTCCATTGCCAATGATATGTAAATAAGTTACTTGTTTTATAGGTACTAAAGTAGTTAGGCCCAAATGACCACATGTTTCATTGTAGTATGACAGATTCCTGAATCAGATGCAGATTTTGCAACAAGTGGTATGTGTAATGATTAGATACATATATATATATATAGAGTGTGTGTGTGTGTGTGTGTTTGTGTTTGTGTGTATACCATATATACATACCAGTGCAACAAAAAAAAAAATCTGTGGTTTGATAATTCTCTCATCAGTTGTCACTGATGCACCCCTGACAGAGGCTTTTGCACCTTTTGCTGATAAAAGTCTGGATGGTCACTTTCATCTTTGGCACAGAGAATTTGATGTCTGCTTTTTCTCCAAACACAAGCTAAAATATGGACTCATTTGACCACAGCACACATTTCTACTGTCTTTCAGACCATCTGAAATGAGATCAGGCCCAGAGAACTCGGCTGTGTTTCTACATAGAATTGATGTATGGCTTTCTCCTTGTGTTGTAGTTTTAAGTAGCAGACAATGTTAAGTGACACACACATTGAACAGTGATTTCCAGCCTTGCCCTACATGGACTGAGATTTCTCCAGATTCCCTATATCTTTTCACAATATTATGTATAGTAGATGGTGAACAGCATTTATTCTTTGTAATTTTACATTGATAAATGTTCTTTCTGTACTGTTTGACAATTCTCTCATGACGTTTGGCACAAAGTGATGAGTAACTTTGTTCATTCAAGAAAATTAACAAATCACAGATTCTTGTTGTACATTTGTTTTTTTTTCCTAAATTTTGCATACACCAGAGAACTAAGGGTTGTAATGAAATTAAATCTTGCTTAATTTAGGCCAGGTGAACTACAGTATCAACCTGGTTCTTGGGGAATTTACAGTATTTCTTCAAGGTCCTAACTGGGCTTACTGAGTAATTTTCAGAAGTTTACAACCCTAAAACCCACTGAGCAGTTCTCCTTTTGCTATGCCCCAGTGTCCACTTTTGTTCCATGTTGTGTGATGAGCTCTCTGAGGTGGAGAACCTCCAGCTGTGCAGTTCACTTTAAGTTTAAAGTTACAAATGTCTGTTGCAGCGTCCTTTTGACAGCAACCTCAAGGTTGATGGAAATAGGCTTGCCACCTATCTGAACTATGTAAGTACGTGTGTGCACCCTACTCTGCTTTTGTCTTTACTCTGAAATTTTATCTTCATAGAAAGATGAGCCTGATGCTTTCAAATCGTTAGGCACAGGAAATCGTGTGGCTACTTATTTAAATTATGTAAGTATGTACTGCCTGGTGTGAATGACACTCTAAGACACTGTTCTGAATGTGTGCGCAGCCGGTTTTGGCATGTCTAGCTTGTTTTACCTAAGCTCTGCACAAGTTTGTGATTCAGATTATTCTTTTTTGTTCTGTTGCTAAATGCTAAATTGTAAGAGAAAGGCTGTGCACTATTGAATATGTCTAAAAGCTTCAGTGTCGTCTGCGCAGTATCAAGATTAACATAACCTAGGTATTGTGTATTTTTTTAATATATATTTAAGACACTGTGAATAATCTTTATGTATTTCAGAAGTATATACCTTCTTAATGTAAATAATTACAGTGCTTCAAAACTACATTGGGCATGGTTTGGTTAACCTTCTTTGCCTGCCCTTAGGGGCTACTGTAGCAAGAGCATGTTAAATATAAGAACGGCTTGAGATAACCGTATTTTAATATCAGCAGAATTGATCGACTGGACTCACAATAGGAGGATGGCATTGGTAATACAGATTAATGTGATTAATTTGTCCTGTTTATGTATATTTCTTTTATTGCTGAGTTACATTAAGTGCCTCTTAAACTAGGTTTTTTAGTCCTTGTTTATTATTGTATTAAACATAACTACACATAATGTTTATTTTTATATTAAACATAAATAGAATAAACATAAAATAGTAGATCCCGCTTGACATGTCTGTTAAAAAGGTCAGAATACTCTCTGTATGAACAGATTGTGATTGAATATTTCAGACTGTACCGGTGTGATAAACAGCTTTTTGTACTAGATATGTACCATTACTTTATGAATGCAGTTTAAGATAAACACTATTGATGCAAAGGGGCCACAGTGATACTTTGCAGAGAGGTTGCAGAGCAAGTGGTTGTTGGTAACATATGTTGTCTCTAAATGACAGATGAGTGATGTTGAAGCTGGTGGCGCCACTGTGTTCCCAGATTTTGGTGCTGCTATTTGGCCGAGAAAGGTAGTATCTACTCCTCTTAATGGATTATTCCCACAAAATTCCGTGAAGTTTTTATGTGTCCACATACACTGAATGTGAAATTCAATAAATGTGAAAGGAGATGTATGTATGTAGGTATGTATGCCGCTGATCCTGTAATTTAAAAACACATAAGTGAAAGCATCCTGCTTAGCTTTTGCCTTCAAAACTTATTGTAGGTAGAATAAAAGGCCTTTTCCCCCCACACAACAGAGGGATTACGATCTCAAAACAAATTGAATGAGAAGCACAAATTTGTTATGAGGCAAAATGAACTCTCAGTATTCTCATACTAGCAGACATTGTTTTATCTGTTAGTCTAGTTGTAATGGATTGAAATGCTTTTTCTTAGTCTCCAAAAAGGATAATTACTAATTACTTCCTCTAAAAATGTAATCGGATTAATTATGGGGAAAAAGTAATCCCACTACTCATTACTTGACTTCTGTGTTATTCTGTAGAACTCATACATATCTGTACCAACTGAAACTTTATTTAGAAAGAAATGGCCAATCACAGTAAACATCCTTTGCCATTTGAGAAACTAGCCAGTAGCAACAGTTCAAAAACAGCTGCCTCAAATGCTTTTTCTGTATTAAAAAAATAATAATTTTAAGCTTTATTCATGAGGTGTCAAGCCTGTACCTAAGCACTGCTGGCTGGTAACTGTTACCTTCTCCTGTTTTTCAGGGTACTGCAGTGTTCTGGTACAACCTCTTTAGAAGTGGCGAGGGAGACTACCGAACAAGACACGCAGCCTGCCCTGTTTTAGTGGGAAGTAAATGGGGTATGTTTGGTTAAATAAATAATAAACACGTTAAGGGGCCGTGGTGTAAAAAATATGAATGTGATTAATATGGTTATGCGAGACCGCTAAACCAAAGTAAGCTGTTGTCAAATCCTCTTTTTACAGCAATAATACTTGTTGTTCAGTTTAAAAGTGTAAAGGTGCCTCAACGTATTGTAGTTTTCTGTAAGTTAGCATGATTGCAAACCGTTGCATGTCTCAAAAAACAAAGTATTAGAATCTAGTAATCTACTAGATGTACTCACCTATTGTATGTTTAAAGCTTAAACTGTTGTGGTAATATGTGCCCTGCACAAGCATAATTCAGCCGTGGTTGAACCTTACTGTAGAGAAAAAGGCTTTTTTTCTTAGACTTACTTTTTTTGTTTGTCTAGCTGTTGTTTGTTCTTCGCACCATTCTGAAGATTTGCCAATATAGTATATAACTGTGAGGAAAATGAAAAGACTAAAGGGTTTTTTTTTCATGGTCATAGTGGAAATGCAAAATAAGGCACAAAATCACAATGGTGGCATGTGTGGGTGTGACATGTTTTTGGTGTTTCTGTGACCAGTGGTGCAGGCACTAACCTAGTGCAGAGCAGCACAGTTGTAAACTGGGTGGTATTAGGCTGAATACATTATCAGCAAAAATAGTTTCATTACTTCTATTGAGAGAGAAAAACTGAACATCTTGTAGATTTCACTTTGATAATTTAGTAGTAAATATAGGGCTGATGTAACTTACTTCAAATGTGCGTGTTCATCTTTGAAACGTGGCATTGAATGACTTGTTACTTTTACGAAGTGGTGAAAAATACAATATGATACACCAGTGATTAATAAATATTTATTTTTTTGAAAGCTACCTTAAATTCACTGCTACCTTACATACACTGCCACTTTTAACCCACTGCTACCTTAAATCCAATGCCTCCTTAGATCCACTTAAACCTTAGACACTGCTACCTTAAATCTCCTGCAACGTTAAATTTATTGCTATCTTTAATCATTGGCCACCATAAAATCGAATGCCACAGTAAATCAACTTAATACCAACTTAAATCCACTGCTCCCTCGCATTCTAGTGACACCCTCTTTACATCCGCTGCCATCTTAAATCTCAGGCTACCTTAAATTAATTCCTAGCTTAAATCCACTGCTCCATTAAATCAAATGCCTCCTAAAGCCCACTGCTACCTTAAGTCCAGTGCCACCAGAAATTTACTGATACCTTAAATCCACTGCCACTTTAAATTTCCCGAAACCTGAAATCCATTGCCACCTTAAATGAACTACCACCTTACCTTTACTGCTACCTTAAATCCACTGCCACCTCAAATTTACTGATGCCTTAAATCCACTGCCACATTAAATTTAGTGATACTATAAATTCACTGCCACCTTAAATTTATCGACATCTTATTCTTTGCCACGTTAAATTTACTGATACCATAAATCCATTGCCACCTTAAATTTACTGATACCTTAAATCCACTGCCACCTTAAATTCACTGACACCATGTTAAATTCACTGGTACCTTAAATACACTGCTGCCTTAAATACAATTTACTGATACCTCAAATCTGCTGTCACCTTAAATTTGCTGATAACTTAAATTTATTGGTGCCTTAAGTACACTGCTACCTTATGGTGTGTTGAGTCTGTGTGGTGTGTAGCCTATGGCGTGGAGTGCTTGTTGTGTTCAGTGTGTGTTGTGTGTAGAGTGTGTTGTGTGTGATGTGGTGTGTTTGTTATGTGTTGAGTCTGTGTGGTGTGCAGATTGACTATGGTGTGGAGTGCTTGTGTTCAGTGTGTGTTGTGTGTAGAGTGTTGTGTGTTTGTGGTGTGTATGACGTGTGGTGTGTTGATGGTATGAGGTGTGGTGTGTTTGTGATTTGTGTGTGGTGTGTGTGTGTGTGTATGTGTGTGTATGTGTGTGTTTGTGTGGTTTATGTGGTGTGTGTGGCATGGTGTGTTTGTGGTGTGTGTGTTTTCTGTGTGGTCTGTTGAGGTGTTTGAGGTATGGGATGTGTTGAGTATGTATTGTTACTGTTTTATTTCTGTTGTAACGGTTTTATTTCTGTTATTACCATAGTTTTATTAGGGTTCAAGCATGCAATGCATTGAACCCTATTGAAATTGTCAAGATTTTTCTTATTAGGGTTCAAGCATGCAATGCGTAGAACCCTATTGGAATTGTCAAGAGTTTTAGGGTTGAAGCACGCAGTGCGTAGAACACTGTTGGAATTATGAGGATTTTTCTTCTTATTATTAGGGTTCAAGCATGAAATGCATTGAACCCTATTGGAATTGTGAAGATTTTTAGGGTTCAAGCATGCAATGCACTGAACCCTATTGGAATTGTCAAGATTTTTAGGGTTCAAGCATGCAATGCATTGAACCCTATTGAACCCTATTGTAATTGTCAAGATTTTTCTTATTATTATTAGGGTTCAAGCACGCAGTGCGTAGGACCCTATTGTTTTTGCTCGGATTTTTAGGGGTCCAAGCACCTTTAGGTGCATGGAACCCTGTTGCTTTTGCTCTGATTTTTAGGGTCCAAGCACGCAGTGCGTAGGATCCTATTGTTTTCCTCAGATTTTCTTCTTCTTCTTCTACTTCTTATTCTTATTCTTTTTCTCCTGAAAAACGTGTTGTGGAGAACAGACCGTAAGGCCTAGAGACACCAAACTTGGTGGGTAGATGTAGTTTGTGTGCATCTTGCCAGGCAACAAAAATGACCCCGATTGGCCAAAGGGGGGCCCTATAGAGCATCAAAACACGTTTTGCTTCATAACTTCTACACCATGATGTGTAGAGACAAAATTCTGATTCCTTGGGTCAAGCCAAACAACTTTGCCTTTTGGACCATTTAGCTCCACCCACTTCAATTTTTTGCTAATTTGCATAATATGCAAAACCTACTTTTGCAAATTAGTTCTAGGGTTTTCACTCAATCCTCAATCCAGAAGAGTGTGAACCTCAATAACTATCAAAAAAATGTTGACTTTTTTAAACAATATGGCTGCCATATGCTAATGAACCCTTCTGAAATAGCTCATAATTCATTTAAAACGCTATAAGTGGAGAATGCTTCTGCCTTAAACATTGAAACTTGACATGCACATTTATGACCAGATTCTGTGGCAGCATATCAATTTTGGCGGGCATACGTCATTAGGGGGCGGGGCAAAAGCCAATTAACTGTTTCTCAGCATCCGTGCATCCAATTGAGCTGAAACTTGGCATGTAGCATCTACTTGACAGACTATAAGTGAATCTTGAAGGACAATTTGATTCATTGAAATTTACGGCTGCCATCAGCCAATCAGCATTCAGCAGGCTTTTGAAAGGCTTAACATTGACCAATCAGCATGAAACTTGAGTGGTGTCTACATGTAGCCCCTTTCTAACAACCAGTGCAGTTTCAACAGATTTCAAAAAGATCAATATATTATTACATGATATGAACATATTATTACTATTTTTGACCCAAGCTCTGTATGAATCATATGTGGTACAGTATGCCACACAATTTTTCATTTGCATGTTTATTATAAAAATGCATAGTTTTTTTGTAATCATTAACTGTTTGAAAACCATGCTTTTTGAACTAGTCTCTGAGTTTTGATCCAAACTTCTCGAATTTGGTCTAGAAATACTCTGTGGCCTCTTTAGATAAATAATTATCAAAAAAATATTGACTTTTTCACTCAACCTGGTGTTGCTCCATCAATACATCACTGCAGCCATGGCATAGCCCGCTTGATTTGCTATAACTCATCAGTCTTTGGTTGTATCATCTCAAAACTTTGATTACTTATATATATTGAAACTCCGACAGGGTATGCAAAATTTGGTCCAGATATGACCTTTAGAGGGCGCCTTAGCTGTCAAAAACCTCAAAAATCATTAAAGATGCTATTACAGTATTATTACAAAGTCTACAGATAAACGCATGGTGCCATTTGATTCAGTTCACTGACCTGAATAACTTTGTAATTACATGTTATGTCAAATATTTCACTCTTTGTGTAGTATTTTGAATTATTCCTTCAACAATTACAGCTTATTATACTAAGGTCAAAAGGTTAATCTGGACATAACTCAGTGAACAGCTTTGATCAAGTTCCCTGATCAATTAACATAACATGTGGAGACCTTTTGACCAATTCTAAACCACTTTCAGTGAACTCCTCTGTGCCAAAAGGGTGCACTGGGTCTCATTCTGGCCTGATTATCAAAGCCTTAAATACGGAGAAACAAAACACCTTGCAAACACAACTATGACAGAAACGTTACTATTGCTCATGTATTTTTTACATCTATGTTGATAATCCTTTGCATGTTCTACAAACCTTTGTAGATCAGTCCATAGAAATGTAAACATATGTTGAAAGTAAAATGGTTCATGACAAATGAAGGCCTTTTGATAAACTCAGACTTCAGCCTCTATGCCTATAAGGCCCAAACTGCATGAGGCCTGATTAGGCCTATTTGGCTCAAAGTGCATGAGAGCTTCTTGTGCTTATGCGTGCTTGGACCCGCTCATTGCCGCTTGCGGCTATATTTATTATTATAAGCGCAGGAAAATCAGTTTTGCCTCATAACTCCTAAACCAGATTTTTGCCAGCTAAGTCATATTTTTTTCCTGGTTCCTTGGGTCCAAATAAACAACTTTGCCATATGGACCGTTTAGCTCCGCCCACTTAGATTTTTCGCAATATTGCCAAATAACCGAAACCTACTTTTGCGAACTAGTCCTACAATTTTCACCCAATCCTCATCTATTTGGAGTCAAAAAATTCAGAAGAGCCTCACGGTCAATAATTATCAAAAACATTTTGGGTTTTCTATACAGCATGGCTGCCATATGCAAATGAACCCTTCTGAATAAATTCAAAATAATTCAGAATTAATTGAAAAATCTGTAACTCAAGAATCCTTCAGCCAAAAAATTTCAAACTTCACAAGCCACGTCAGTAGCCCATTCTGAGGT